GCAACAACGCTTAACATTATTGATTAAAATATAATGGAAGTGTTGTTATCATTTGAGCTACGGTTGTTATAGTGCAACGAAAGAAGTGCAGATATTACAAGTAAAACTATCGTAAGTAATAAGTTTAAGCAATTTAAAATTAAGTATTTTATTAATATGCGTACGAATAGGTTCTATACTACGTATTTTTCTTACTGCTTAGCCTTCATTCAATAAAGTATATCGATGCACAGTGTTATTACCGCAAACTTTAATTTAAATCTAGTTTCATTAATTTAAATTGACTTCATTCATCAATTAAATTTATTGTTATTCATTTAATTTAAAGTTTTACTAATATAATTTATGAAACTCGAACAAAATTCTTATTAAAAAAATTAAGATATAAATTATGAAAAGATAAAAACTAATGGTTTTACACTTTCTTATATATTATATTTTTATGTGGAGGTACTTGGCAGGTTCGTAGCTTCTTCGAGGTTTGTTTCCGTTGCGACTATAAATTAAAAGAAAATTATAAAGCGTCTTAAAGACAAGTTTCAGTGAAAAATCATACATGTACTTACTTTTAATTTCATTAAGCAGTGCGTTTATTCCTGGCTTGGGCTTGGCGTTGATAGTTAACTGATAAAATTGCCTGTTTATGAAGTCCCACATTGCAGCGCATGGCTCAGCGTAGGCCATATTAAAAACAATGTATGTTTTAAAGCATATATCCACAGCTTTCGCGAAGTTGAAAACTTTGTAAGTGATGTTGTCAAAGTCAATCATGAATGATTGTGTCTCGTCTAGGGTTCCAATTAATGATATGAAGGGGGGCAATAGAAGATACTGCCTGGACTTTGCAATCATACATTTGTTTATATTCCGTATCAGTTGCGCAAACAGCCATAAAACTGTCTAGTGACTCTTTGAGAGAATAAAGCCTTTTTTTGCATTAGTCTTATTATGTGCTAGTTTCTAACAGAGTCGACAGCAGTGACTGTAGAAGAACAAAAGCGTTGGCGCAAATGGAATCTAAGTTGAGCAAAACATTTGTAAATAGAATCAAAAACAAGTGAGGTTAAAATATTTCATTCCCGGTTATGTGGTTATATTTTTTACTCAGTTTGCAAAAACAAAATACAA